CCTGCCCGTCCCTCCCCGCCCTTCCCCGCCTCGCTCCCCTCCCCCATTGGCTCTTCTCCTCTCCTCGGGTACGCTGTCCGCTCGAAAGTGCGAGGATGCTGCGTCTGCGTCCGGACGCCTTCGACGAGGAAGATGACGATGGGATTACGCCGCTGCCGGAGCTCGACGCCCTGCCGGCGCGGATGATGGCCTCGCCCAGCCAGGAGGCCGACCCGGGCCTGGCCGGCCTCCGCCATAGCCACCACCACCACCCATCTTACGGGCCGCCCTTCGAGCAGATGGCCTTTGACGAGGCCACGCCCGCCCCCCGGTCCGTCTTTCTATCCCCCTCACAGCCGCAGGAGGACTTTGCCAGGGCCTCAAACAGCGCCTCGGCCGGGGGAGACCCCCATCTGGCCGCCGGCGATGCGCTCGACGAGTCCGACGCCCGGATGACCTCGAACTTCTTCGCCAACACCGACCACGGCCCGGCCATCCTGGCCGCATTGAAAACCTTCCCGGCCAATGACGTACGCCTGCGCCGCCTCCGAGCCTGTGCCCTCCCCCCCCCCCTCCCTTCCCTCCTTCCCTACCTCCGAGGAGGGGCAACGGACACATGTCAGCCCATCACGCCTCACCACAGCCCCCGCCCAAACACACACAGACACACGCACACATGCAGCCCGCTCACCCCCTCGGTCATGCCCCGCTCCCTTGTGGCCGTCCCCCCCCCCCCCCCCCCCCCAGGACTCCTACGTCCTGCTGACCATGCTCCGGACCGGGATACGCTTCGACCTGGAGATCCAGACGTCGCTGCTGGCGTCGCTCTTCATCGACCGCAAGTACGTGCCCGCCCGGTGTGGCCCTGCATCCGCCGGTCGCCAGACATGTCGCGTGCTGACCCGGACCAGGTTCTTCACGGAGTTCCACTGCCAGCAGCACTCAACCGTGCTCGTGCCGCTGAATACCCTGATCGACTGCCTGTCGCTCTTCTCGGCCAGCGCCCCGCCCGGGGCCGGGGCTCAGCATGGGCACTATGCCGCCTCGGGCGAGGGGAACCGCGCGAACATTCCCTTCGATCCCCCGGGCCCCGGGGCCGGTGCCAGCACCTTCACCCCGGCCTCCGGCTTGGCGTACCTGGAAATCACCTGGGACTTCGACGGCCAGCTGATGCTCAACATCTTTTCCAACAAGGAGTACGCCTCGTGCGCCATCAACACCCTGCATGACACGCAGCGCATGCACAGCATCCTGCACCAGCACCAGGGCAGCCCGGCCACCGAGGTGGCCGTCATCTCCATGAAGGCCCATTGGCTGCGGGACGCCTTCCACGAGATGGACACCAACTCCGATGTGCTGGCTGTGCGCATCTCCGGCACGGAGGCCCCGTATTTCAGCTTTGCCACCGACAATGTCCTGTCCGGCTATACCGAGGTGCGGGACTACGCGCGTGGCGGTGCATGTTCCTCGCCTTTGGGTTTCCGTCCGCCGCCGCCGCCCCCCCCCCCCTCCTCTCTTTTTCCCTCTCTTCCGCTTGGCCTTTTCAAGCACACTCCCCCCGCCCATCCGCCTCCACTCACCCAGCGCCTTCGCCTCGCCTCCCTTTTCTGGGGAGAAGTTCTCCTTCCCCCGCTCGGGTCGGGTGATTGATTGCTTCCGTGTCAGCCCTGGGCTGTCGACGGTGGTGTGCAACTTCACCATCGAGCTGGCCCGGGCGTCCACCCGGGCCCTGGCCATCTCCAACATGGCGACGCTGCATCTGTTCGAGGAGCGCCTCCTTCGGCTGTCCCTCCCTCTGGCTTTCTCGGACCGCGGGACGGCCGACATCACCAACCAGACCCCGGAGAGTCAGCGCTTCCTCATTGAGTTCACTGTGCGCGCCCCCCCCCCCCCCCCC